GGGACAATCAAACTGGCTGACTGACAAACTTGGCTAACATGGACCATAATACTGCTTCCCTGACCGACATGGCTAGCATGGACCATCAAATTTGCTTTCCTAACTAACTTGGCTAACATTGACCATCAAACTGGCTTCCTGACCGACTTGGCTAACGTGGACCATAATACTGCCTCCCTGACCGACTTGGCCAACGTGGACCACCAAACTGCTTTCATGACCGACATGGCTAACCTGGACCATCAAATTGCCTTCCTGGCCGACTTGGCTAACATAGACCATTAAACTGACTTTCTAGCCAACTTTGTGAATGAAATGAGAGAGTACAACTGATTGACTGGCTGATTACTAGCATGGAACATTAAACTGCCTGTCAAAGCGATTTCAGGGAAACATGGACCATCAAGTTACGTTTTCTGTCTGACCCACTCTGCAAACACGGATCACCTAACTTCTATCAGACCGGCATGTCTAACATCAGAGAACATCAAGCTGCTAACCTGATCGACCTGGATGACAAAGACCATCAATCTGCCTGCCTGACCGACTTGGATAACTTACTAACTAAACTTGGCTAACAGAAAGATGCGACAAAGGATTGTGAGAATCATGAACTATTACTTCATAAAGATTTCAAGTTTTTTGTTGTCAATTCAGATATTATCGAGATGGATTAAGAATAATGAAGCATTTAATTGCAACAAACTTCACGATGCTTTTACTTGCCAAATATTTATTTCATCTACAGTCGTGGGGGTGTATTTGTCTAGTCGTAAGTATGGAACAAAAACAAACAAATTAAATTATTAAACTAAATTTTAAACTAATAAGTTGTTTGAAGGAGTGCACGTATGTGAAGCTGCCTGACAAGATGATAAAATGATTATCAGTAGGTATCCCAGTTAATCTTTCCTGTTTAATTTTTCAAACAAATGAATACCACAGGGAATTCAGCTATTATACTTAGAATCGTAAGCTCATAGTGAATTGGAAGATAATGGACCCCGGTGGTTCTTAAGAGCAGTGAGCTTATAATCTAATAACCCCAAATCCATTGCTTAGGTCTTTCTTAACAAATATCTTGGATTTATCGCTAGGAAAGAAATGTTTTTTAAAATAACTCGGGTTTTTTATCACAATTATTATTTTCTTTTTTTCATTTTGTTTAATCATTGAAATAATTTGTGACTTAATGTGGAAAAACGTTATATAACACAAGAGTCGTGTGATAATATCATGATATGAGGCAAAAAATCAGTCACCATCAGAACCATTACATGAAACATTTTATTATGTAAGTCGATGAAAGATTGAAGATATAATCTTATTTATGTAATTAGCACAACGGCAGTGGCTCATCATTCCTAGAAAATTAAAAGCAATGAAGGCAGCTAGTTCTATACAGAAGTTAAAATGTAACCTCTTTATACCCTTCATGTAAATTCTACTGCAACATCTTAAATGAAAGATGATGGTAAAACTTGCGTGCATTCGCGTGCAAATACTTTTGAGTCTGTAGGTCCCACTTGCCCTCGTGACCCAGTTCACTGATTTAGAGATATATCTCTGCGGTTTTAGCTTGAAATCGATACACTGTGACCTTGTCTGGGCTGAGAGTGAGTGCCTGTTCAATATTCCGGAGACGTCGCCGGCAAATATTTTCCCCCAAACAAAAAAAAGGTGCTAGAAAAGTGTGATAGCAGTGAATGAAAGTGCGAAGTGTGTGCGAAAGTCTCGAGTCTTACCCACGACACGCAATGATCTTAGGTGTCCCCCAATAAAAGTGCTAAAAACGGATCAACCGAGTGAAAAAAGCTGTATTTATCACATAACTTATATACGTTAATCCTTCGTCTCTTCCGTAATTAACTTTTACCCCAATTCTCTTTACTATTATTGACCTGACGTTCACATAAAGTCAAACATTCAGTTGGGTCGACAAGTGATCTACTTGTTAAATGAATAAACTGTTAAGTGTTGCCATTCATCTCTGATTCATATTACCTGCTGCCTTGTTGCTCAGTACAAGTTTTTCATGTGTTGGTTTAATCTCGCAAATCAATTCTCAATCAATACCAGTGTACTTTTCGAATGTTATGATTATTTGGGAACTGCAAAAAAGGCAAAAGCCTTAGTGTTGTTTGTAACACGTAGATTTCACAATGCCGTAGACTGTGGACTTATTTTGAACATTTCAAACTTGATACTGTTTTTAAACCACTCTTAAAAGATTCGCAAAGATCTACAGCAACTGCCAGTCTGTCTATCATAAAAGGCCTCGCAGATGATTTTTTCCTTAGACAGATGATCCTATATGTTCCTTTATCGATTTGTTTTCTACAGTATCAGGAAAAGAAGTAATGTTTCGGCTATCAACAATAAAACACGGCAAACGCAAGGGTCAATATGTCGCCTTGTTCCACTCACCGACCGGAATTATTTGCTCTTAGAGAATAGCTTGATAATAAAACTTTTAAACCGTGTATTTTGGAACTAAGGACACAACGCTTACGTTCAAATATTGATATAATAATGGGACTAACCAAACACAACCACTACATTTGGTTGTTGTGTCGGCTCTATAGTCTCTAGACTTTCCCTTTCAAAGTGGAGCTTTGATATTTTATATCTATCTAGTATACAAACTGGTCAAACTCAAAGGATAAACAGCGGTGTAGTAAAACTAAGATCTGCTTCCGACCAGCTGCCCTATGAAAAGCCTTTTGTTTCTCAGTGTAATTTCACCTTTCAGAAAAGAGAATGGACCTTTTAATACCTCAATGCTCAGTGAATCTTTATTCAGACGGTGTATGGCCATCTTAAAACCGCGTCATTATTTATCAGAAGTCTGCCCTTTTACGGCTCTTTAATATAACTCCCAAGGGAGGCAGCGGCAAAACTCAAAGTAGTAAAATATCCCTAGAGCAATTTAGTAACATACCCAGAGAGCAAAAAAAAAGCGAAAGAAAACAATATGGTTACTTCAGCGAAAGAGTTGCTAAAAGCTCAAAGGCTGAACGATGGACTTCAACTACAAAAGACTCGAAAGGTAAAACTCGAATGATTGATTTAAGCTCAAACGAAGGGTGGAAGGGGAAGAAGGTCGAAAAAGGTTAAACATAACCTATACACGGTATAATAATGGGTTTTGTTGTGCTTTTTAATGATGTGAAAATTCAATTTTGGTTGCTGTGTTGCTCAGCTTCTTCCGCCCGGGCCGTTTGGCTTCAGTGTTGTAATCTCAACTCTGAAAGGAAGCTTTAAGACTTCCTTTACGCGCGCGAAGCGCCAGGTGCAATACATTTCAATCGGTTACAGAGGGTTGCGTTCTCTAGTCGCAACGTGGAAAGTGTATTGGTTTGAGAAAATGACAGCAGGTTTTTGTTATCTAGATTCAACAATAGGAATCAGTGCACAATATTTAGTCTACTTGTTGTGGCTGAAATAACACACGTCCGCCAACAGGCACGCGGGCTGTTACGCTTCGCTCACATTCAGAGATGGCACGCACACGATTAGTCCGGGTCCTAGGATTATATTTTGATCTTGAACGTTTTCATTTTGCAGATCAGTGAAGGCAAGAGCTGCTGGACGGAGAATTATTCGGCATTTTTGGAGTTGTGACTGGGAGGAAGACACAGATTATCGTTCGACCAGCATGAGAGGTCGCGGGGCGGCGATCACGGATCAATACCACATACAGCGGGTGAAGAGCTGAGTAACTAGGTGACTCAGTGGTTACATAATGATTTTAATGCTAACAATGAATCATCCATTTGTAAATATTACAAGCATCTTTTTCGATAAAGCATATACACTTTGAATCATAAGTTATTCAGCTGATTGCATGAGTGACTGTAGGAGATTGAAACTGNGGGCCGTTTGGCTTCAGTGTTGTAATCTCAACTCTGAAAGGAAGCTTTAAGACTTCCTTTACGCGCGCGAAGCGCCAGGTGCAATACATTTCAATCGGTTACAGAGGGTTGCGTTCTCTAGTCGCAACGTGGAAAGTGTATTGGTTTGAGAAAATGACAGCAGGTTTTTGTTATCTAGATTCAACAATAGGAATCAGTGCACAATATTTAGTCTACTTGTTGTGGCTGAAATAACACACGTCCGCCAACAGGCACGCGGGCTGTTACGCTTCGCTCACATTCAGAGATGGCACGCACACGATTAGTCCGGGTCCTAGGATTATATTTTGATCTTGAACGTTTTCATTTTGCAGATCAGTGAAGGCAAGAGCTGCTGGACGGAGAATTATTCGGCATTTTTGGAGTTGTGACTGGGAGGAAGACACAGATTATCGTTCGACCAGCATGAGAGGTCGCGGGGCGGCGATCACGGATCAATACCACATACAGCGGGTGAAGAGCTGAGTAACTAGGTGACTCAGTGGTTACATAATGATTTTAATGCTAACAATGAATCATCCATTTGTAAATATTACAAGCATCTTTTTCGATAAAGCATATACACTTTGAATCATAAGTTACTCAGCTGATTGCATGAGTGACTGTAGGAGATTGAAACTGCTGTACTATGGGAGTGTCAACAACCTTTGCACCTCCACAAATCTAATGCGATCGTCGGCGGCGAAAGTCTTTTTTGCAGCTTTTAACTCGGTGAATTAAATCTAAAGATTAAGCTATTCGAATAAAAGGTCTGTTAGGATACTTCTCAAGCGTAAATTGTTTTTTGTAATCATTTGGAGTTTTGACTTAAAGCTAGTGGTTGCACTTGGAAATGAATTGTATCAGTGACTGAAATCGATGGGCTATTTAATTGTATTTAACCCAGTATAGTCAGTAAAAAAAAATAGAAAGCGACTGAGATTACAGCCGTGTGGTGCAGAAAACTTCTCTGAAGAAGACTAAAGAGAACAGTAGGAAAACAGTATTACTAACAACAGGAGTTTGTAGCATTAGTCAGCCGAGGGTAAAGGGAGAGAAACACGAGCATAAAGCAAGACACCGTCTGATCACGATAGTTTTAGAATTTTACTCATGAAGTGACGGGTTGGAAATGACGATGTTAACACTTACTACAGCGATTAGCACTATTATGCTATGAGTAAAAAACAAACACAGACAAAACAGAGTGCACCGATCGAAGTAGTGTACTGTTCACGTTCACAGTTAGTTATGAGAAGTGACAGCAGTGTAAAAGGGCGCGAAGAAATGAAAAGTGTTTCAGTTTAGTTTTTTGTTCGATCCAGCTAATTAACTGATAGAGAAAAATTAAAATGAGTCGAAGAAACCTAGTCGTTGAATTCACTCTATAGCAGTACTCGGAGACGTGAAAGTACTGGCAAAACTGAGAAGCGCTGCAAGGGAGGTTTGGAAGTGGTAGGGATGTAGAAAAGTGTTATTAGAGGTTTAAAAGTAAATAAAATTAGCAAAATTTAAAAAGTACCATAAAGGAGGGGTACAGGAGAAAGTAACTAAGAGACATAGCTGTGTTTGGGACAATTATTATGGAGAATACTACAAGAAAAGGGTTTGATAAAGGAACACTGAGTACTGTACTTGGAGAAAAGGGGAAAGTGTACAGGCTTTCAGAGACATGAAAAATCTAGCTTTCTTATTGTAAAATCCTGCCAACAGATAATTCCATTTGAAAATTTCATTTCAATCCAAAGACCCGAGAGTTAGAAAGACACACTTACTGCCACATTCGCCTCAGAAAGGAACAACTAGTTGTGTTAAAATGAAAAGTATACTGAGAACCTCCAGAATTAAATGGAAGTTCGAGAAAGTGCCTCACGGATTTAATGAGGACAAGTCGTAGCAAAGAGAGGTAAAAGCCCCATACAGAAGCGGGAGAAATAGACGGTGTAAAGTTTTGTATTCTGCAGTAAAATGAGAGATTGGTGGAGTAGAATCGTCCGGATAACGTATGATAACAGAGTCTTTATTTCACTCGTTCTAAGACCTGAATCATAAGTTTCAAGACTGAGTGATGTATACAATACTTCCAACAGTTTGTTCCAAATGCAACAAATCTACTCAATAGTTAAGTGAGATATGGTTTGAAATCTAGAGTAATTACTGTAATAGAGCTGAAGATTAATGCCAGTCTCTAAGGGAAAAAACTGTTGTATAGCCTAGAAAAAGAGGTATATTTCAAAATGGAGGCAACAGGGAAGTAGTCTTGAGAGAGGAGTGCTTCGAGCAGTAATGATAATGTCGAGCAGTGATGGTAATGCCATAAGAGCAGTAACAGGGAGGAGAGCGAGAATTTTACGAGTTACAGTTTAAGTCAGAGCAAGTTTAAAAAACCATGAACAATAAGCCGTTCAGGGCTGAACAGGAGAATGATAGCGTATTAGAAAGAGGCTAGAGCACAGGGCGTAGCTACACAAACAGTTTCACCCATATCACTGAAAGGTAGTCTCAGCTAGAGAATATAATTTTTTAAGTGCAGCCGTGTTGAACATATATTTTTCGGTGAGAAACACAATGAGAAACTCCAGAGTTTTCAACAATCGGCTGTAGGCTTGCCAGAGAATATGAAGTTTTATATATTAATATTAAAGTAGTATAACTATCCCACAACAACCACTCAAAATAGGCTCCTGGGTGCATGTTTAGAGGAATTCTAAGAAAAAGACGAGATATTTTTGTAACTGTGGACACGATAAGTGAAACCCCCCAGAAACTGTGCCCCCAAGTCATAGGAAAAAATTCTTTAGAAAAATTATAAGCCCTCAGCTTTAATAAATTGTATACTTATACCAAGAATAAATATTGAAAGATGTGTTATATGGACCTCAACCCATTGGCGAAATTGACTGTGATACGCATGCAGTGCAGTTGCTGTGAATAAAAAGCGTTTTGTGTATTATTTGTTATTTCTAGAAAGTTATAATTATGTCCTTAAAACAAACCGATCCTTTTTTGATACCGACATTTGACCTTCAATAGTAAGCTCTCCCAGTTCGCCAAGATCGGGCCCACCCACAAGAAATCAACGAAACTAATACATTTCTAAAATGAACGTATTTTCTGGAAAAGTACAAGGCAGAAAGTATTTTTATTTTGTAGTATTGTTTTATTAAATAAAGGTTTTTCAAGTTACACTTGGACAATAAAAAGACTGAACTTAAATAAACTGGATCATGCACACACAGACTTGTACATCAAGATGATATCTATTTTCTATGCCTATTTCAAGGTGAATTACTATTAAATTATTCCCAACCAACCTTCCAGCAATAAACGTTTTTGGTCCTCACCATCTTGAGGTAGCTGTGTTTCAATACACCTGTTGTATTTTCTTAAATAAACAAAGTTCATGGCATTGAAATAAACGGGTGAGCAATGTTTATTTTTCACACCCCTTGCCGGCACATCCGTGTCGTATAGATAGTCTGATCTTGATAAATACTTTCATTACAAGTCACTTAGTAATTTTTTATTCTTCTTTTCAAATAGTAACATAAATAAAAACCTCTACTTCGCCACATTTTAATGTGATAATTACAGTCAGCTTTCAGCAGCATTGTACTTGGATCAAAGCTAACCTAATATTTCCCTTGGATCCAGAGTTTCCCTATTTCAGATTGTTTTCCGCAAGCAAAAAAGTTAAAAAGGAGGAGAAAGCCTTTATATGTTTGTCATTAAGGGTTAACTCTTACATTAGCTAATGAAATGATATTTTGATAAACAATAACCACATATTGATTACCGAGTCAACACGGAAGAAATAGCTTTGTTTGGGACAATTATTATGGAGAATACTACAAGAAAAGGGTTTGATAAAGGAACACTGAGTACTATACTTGGAGAAAAGTGGAAAGTGCACAGGCTTTCAGAGATATGAAAAATCTAGCATTCTTATTGTAAAATCCTGTCAACAGATAATTCCATTTGAAAATTTCATTTCAATCCAAAGACCCGAGAGTTAGAAAGACACACTTACTGCCACATTCGCCTCAGAAAGGAACGACTAGTTGTGTTAAAATGAAAAGTATACTGAGAACCTCCAGAATGATATGGAAGTTCGAGAAAGTGCCTCACTGATTTAATGAGGACAAGTCGTAGCAAAGAGAGGTAAAAGCCCCATACAGAAGCGGGAGAAATAGACAGTGTAAAGTTTTGTATTCTGCAGTAAAATGAGAAATTGGTGGAGTAGAATCGTCCGGATAACGTATGATAACAGAGTCTTTATTTCACTCGTTCTAAGACCTGATCATTAGTTTCAAGACTGAGTGATGTATACAACACTTCCAACAGTTTGTTCCAAATGCAACAAATCTACTCAATAGTTAAGTGAGATATGGTTTGAAATCTAGAGTAATTACTGTAATATAGCTGAAGATTAATGCCAGTCTCTGAGGGAAAAAACTGTTGTATAGTCTAGAAAAAAGAAGTATATTTCAGAATGGAGGCAACAGGAGAGTAGTCTTGAGAGAGGAGTGCTTCGAGCAGTAATGATAATGTCGAGCAGTGACAGGTAGGAGAGCGAGAATTTTACAACTTACAATTTAAGTCAGAGCAAGTTCAACTAACCATGAACAGTAAGCCGTTCAGGGCTGAACAGGAGAATGATAGAGTATAAGAAAGAGGCTAGAGCACAGGGCGTAGCTACACAAACAGTTTCACCCATATCACTGAAAGGTAGTCTCAGCTAAAGAATATAATTTTTTAAGTGCAGCCGTGTTGAACATATATTTTTTGGTGAGAAACACAATGAGAAACTCCAGAGTTTTCAACAATCGGCTGTAGGCTTGTTAGAGAATATGAAGTTTTATATATTAATATTAAGGTAGTATAACTACCCCACACCAACCACTCAAAATGGGCTCCAGTGTGCATATTTAGTGGAATTCTAAGAAAAAGACGAGATATTTTAGTAACTGTGGACACGGTTAAGTGAAACCCCCCCAAGAAACTGTGCCCCCGAGTCATAGGAAAAAATTCTTTAGAGAAATTATAAGCCCTCAGCTTTAATAAATTGTATACTTATACCAAGAACAAATATTGAAAGATGTGTTATATCGATCTCAACCCATTGGCGAAATTGACTGTGATACACATGCAGTGCAGTTGCTGTGAATAAAAAGCGTTTTGTGTATTATTTGTTATTTCTAGAAAGTTATAATTATGTCCTTAAAACAAACCGATCCTTTTTTGATACCGACATTTGACCTTCAAAAGTAAGCTCTCCCAGTTCGCCAAGATTGGGCCCACCCACAAGAAATCATCGAAACTAATACATTTCTAAAATGAACATATTTTCTGGAAAAGTACAGAGCAGACAGTATTTTTATTTTGAAGTATTGTTTTATTAAATAAAGGTTTTTCAAGTTACACTTGGACATTAAAAAGACTGAACTTAAATAAACTGGATCAGGCACACACAGACTTGTACATCAAGATGTAATCTATTTTCTATGCCTATTTTAAGGTGAATTACTATTAAATTATTCCCAACCAACCTTCCAGCAATAAATGTTTTTGGTCCTCACCATCTTGAGGTAGCTGTGTTTCAATACACCTGTTATATTTTCTTAAATAAACAAAGTTCATGGCATTGAAATAAACGGGTGAGCAATGTTTATTTTTCACACCCCTTGCCAGCACATCCGTGTCGTATAGATAGTCTGATCTTGATAAATACTTTCATTACAAGTCACTTAGTAATTTTTTATTCTTCTTTTTAAATAGTAACATAAATAAAAACCTCTACTTCGCCACATTTTAATGTGATAATTGCAGTCAGCTTTCAGCAGCATTGTACTTGGATCAAGGCTAACCTAATATTTCCCTTGGATCCAGAGTTTCCTTATTTCAGATTCTTTCCCGCAAGCAAAAAAGTTAAAAAGGAGGAGAAAGCCTTTATATGTTTGTCATTAAGGGTTAACTCTTACATTAGCTAATGAAATGATATTTTGATAAACAATAACCACATATTGATTACCGAGTCAACACGGTGAATATAGTCTGACTGCAACCGTTTTACCTGAACTAAAAGAGGCACNTTCAGGGCTGAACAGGAGAATGATAGCGTATTAGAAAGAGGCTAGAGCACAGGGCGTAGCTACACAAACAGTTTCACCCATATCACTGAAAGGTAGTCTCAGCTAGAGAATATAATTTTTTAAGTGCAGCCGTGTTGAACATATATTTTTCGGTGAGAAACACAATGAGAAACTCCAGAGTTTTCAACAATCGGCTGTAGGCTTGCCAGAGAATATGAAGTTTTATATATTAATATTAAAGTAGTATAACTATCCCACAACAACCACTCAAAATAGGCTCCTGGGTGCATGTTTAGAGGAATTCTAAGAAAAAGACGAGATATTTTTGTAACTGTGGACACGATAAGTGAAACCCCCCAGAAACTGTGCCCCCAAGTCATAGGAAAAAATTCTTTAGAAAAATTATAAGCCCTCAGCTTTAATAAATTGTATACTTATACCAAGAATAAATATTGAAAGATGTGTTATATGGACCTCAACCCATTGGCGAAATTGACTGTGATACGCATGCAGTGCAGTTGCTGTGAATAAAAAGCGTTTTGTGTATTATTTGTTATTTCTAGAAAGTTATAATTATGTCCTTAAAACAAACCGATCCTTTTTTGATACCGACATTTGACCTTCAATAGTAAGCTCTCCCAGTTCGCCAAGATCGGGCCCACCCACAAGAAATCAACGAAACTAATACATTTCTAAAATGAACGTATTTTCTGGAAAAGTACAAGGCAGAAAGTATTTTTATTTTGTAGTATTGTTTTATTAAATAAAGGTTTTTCAAGTTACACTTGGACAATAAAAAGACTGAACTTAAATAAACTGGATCATGCACACACAGACTTGTACATCAAGATGATATCTATTTTCTATGCCTATTTCAAGGTGAATTACTATTAAATTATTCCCAACCAACCTTCCAGCAATAAACGTTTTTGGTCCTCACCATCTTGAGGTAGCTGTGTTTCAATACACCTGTTGTATTTTCTTAAATAAACAAAGTTCATGGCATTGAAATAAACGGGTGAGCAATGTTTATTTTTCACACCCCTTGCCGGCACATCCGTGTCGTATAGATAGTCTGATCTTGATAAATACTTTCATTACAAGTCACTTAGTAATTTTTTATTCTTCTTTTCAAATAGTAACATAAATAAAAACCTCTACTTCGCCACATTTTAATGTGATAATTACAGTCAGCTTTCAGCAGCATTGTACTTGGATCAAAGCTAACCTAATATTTCCCTTGGATCCAGAGTTTCCCTATTTCAGATTGTTTTCCGCAAGCAAAAAAGTTAAAAAGGAGGAGAAAGCCTTTATATGTTTGTCATTAAGGGTTAACTCTTACATTAGCTAATGAAATGATATTTTGATAAACAATAACCACATATTGATTACCGAGTCAACACGGTGAATATAGTCTGACTGCAACCGTTTTACCTGAACTAAAAGAGGCACGAAACGTATGGCTATTTCAATTTTGCACTAATGGAAGAGAAACCTGAATCAGCATTCAAAGATTTCAACCTGAAACCCACCTTAAACATATTCACAATCTTAAAAATTCATAGCACTTCAGGAAAGAGCCACTCGTGGCCCTCTGGTTTGAATTATCAAATCTTACGGGCACCCGTTTAAAACCAACTGATAATAATATATCAGTTACAAGAATAGGCTTTTATTTACTCAAGGAGAGATTTTTGAATCTTTTTTGAAGTTTTTTCCACGGGCTACAATCATCCGGATTATGCGACATGAGTGAATAGACCAGTGAACATGGGAGAACACAACGAAATAACTCTGATTTAAAAGAAATCACACACGAAGAAAGAACGAAATTTCGTTAGGTTTTAGAACGACCTTGCTCAATAGTTGTAGAATAAAATGAAAGAATCTAGTAAGCCTGCCCAAAAATGGTCCAATTTGACTCAAAAGTGAGCGACGCCTTGTTCAGTTGTTAAAAGTAAACAGTACTCGTGAACAGTTCTGCTCAGGTCCCGTTTGAATGGGTTTTATTTATTGTTGTTTAAAAGTTAAAAATAACCTTTCATCTTGTAGTATTACAGTAAGACTGGACAACGGGTTTCTTTTAAAGGATAATTGAAGTTTCTGTTTAAACACTATTGACGATCCTTCTTGTAGATGATGAATTATTTAAATAGTACAACGGGGAAGCGCAGTTCAACAACTTCTGGTTGAAGCATCACACTTACTTAGAAGCCTTAGAACTTCCTTACGATAGTACAGCTTAACAAACCGGGAACCCACACAGGAAAGGCCTCCTCTGTTCCTTTAATAAAGAATGCTGAACCTAAACAATTTCAGCTACTGGTTCCATCCTGTATGGCCTAATAATTAAACAAGAAACAAAAAGGCACTCAGCCCCACACCAGCGTTTTGCGGGGACTTGTAAATCCTTTGGGTACAGATTTATGCTACCCTCTAGGATTTATCACTTAATTAGCATACCTACTGTAGCTTTAAAAATACTCAAATTTAGAACCAACTCGCTCAGCATAATCCCCAGATCTTCCTTTACAGAAGTGCATTCAATAGATACACTTTTCATTACGGCACAGCGAACGTGATGGCTTGGCTATGGAACAACCGAGTCGCGTGTTGTACCACAACCGATTCACTTGAGCCGGGCTTTATTCAAGTCACAGAGAGAACTAGGTGGTTGACTATTTATTTAAATTGCGATTTTGTCAATATAAAGTAACTGAACCTACTGTTCATGTTTTTGCGCTGAACTTGTATAGGTGTATTGAAGAATGATAGCCGCATTCGCTATCATAACAAAACAACACCCCATTTTTCCTAAACGCAAATGCAATGTTAAGACGCTGGTCTGCTACGCTTTACATTATATTACTTTGAAAGGTGATTGCACTTCAAAATATTGGACAGTAATGAAATGTAAACGAGATTTCTTTTTGAGTACTTTTTGGAATGAATACAATTTTATGATGAAGGCACCGAGCCATCTGCCAACTTTTGTTCTCCAAATTCTATCCTACAGTGATAGTTTTCTAAAGCACCGACAGCTTGGCGAGTGCCCCTACTAGGACAAAGTTACTTTCCTATTATCGGGCACTGATCGATGCGTGATATTGGATGTCTGGGTGCAATTTGATTGCTGGATCAGCACACGCTAAGGAGTAAACACGTCTCGCTTAGAATGTTGCGAGTATTGAAGGCGGTCGGGAATCAATTAGTTTTAACGTCATGGGAAGATGGGTTTCCCAGAATCAAGAAGACAAAATAATCAGTTTACGTACATATACTTACCTAATAAGAAAGTCAATGATCCCGCCTTTTTGCACGACTTTAGTGCAAATAACATTCAAAGTAAGAATATACCGAGCTTTGAATGTTTTTAGTCAGGTTACGTCTAGGCACGATTGCGCAATACTCCTCTTGACTCTATCACCCAAGAAAATAGAAGAGGGAAAGTTTACAAAAGAAAGCGATAAACTAGGTCAAGAGAGGAGGAAAACAACGGTCGAAGACAGGCTTGAGAATTTGCTTTGAGATGTAACACCAATGACCGCTATTATTTCCTAGTGTTCCCTCCTTAATCAGATCAACGTACATAGACATTTAGTTTTAAAATTGGCGTGCGAATAAGGGACAATTTCCTTGTGAATGTTTGTCATCCTGCAACGGTGATTACATCTGTCCTACCCTCGGGTCAGAATGTTAATTTGAGTTTTTGTTCTATTTGGTGAGAGCCGGTCACACGATGGTTTAAGCAGTTCTTTATTTTTCTTGCTCTGAAAGAAAACGTTTACAGTTGGTTTGTGTTGTTTGGTTACGTTGAAAAACAAACCATTATCAGAACATTCAGCAAGCAGAATGTCTATAATTGATGGCAGAGCTAGAACAACTTTACCAAGGCGACCAGACATAATGCGAGACAGAGGAGACAAAACACAATGATGGTTGTTCGTTAATCAGTGCTGAGTGCTTTCTACAAATAGTCATTAAGAAAAATCCAATGATTATCTGCCGTCACACGCGCACTAGCCCCATACCTTGAAATGACCCATCATTTTCGGTGTAAGTTCAACGACTCGAGCTCATAAGATCACAAAAAAGTCGACGGTTTTTCTCCTATTTCGCGCCAATTCTACACGAAAAGTTTGAGGCCTGAAAAAATAGATACACAATAAAGCCATCTCTGGCAATTGTATTACATTGCACTTGTCTTGTGTGATCACAGTGTTCGTAGGGTTACCTGGAGATTTAACACGTTGTGTAAGCCATCGCAACAACATCGAGTCTCATTCATTTCATCTATTTTATTAAACCGCGGTTAAAATGCTCTGCTGCGGTTTTTTGTGTAGCAAAACACAATTCAGTGATGCGTTTATACCGTAAGTAATTGACGTACATCTGGACAGAAAATTAATCCATTTCCTTTTACTATCGGCAAAAAGGTTGTGTTGGAGTTTGTTTTTGGCTGATTAAAATATTCCATCCAGTGGTAAAAAAGCGTTTGCTCCGTAAAGAGAAATCTGCCTCGCTATTAAATATGAGAAGTGGGTTTGGAAGTGCAAAGATTAAAAATGGTGATCGGACAAAGAGAATTTCAAAGCAGACACTAAACAATCGAATGAAATTGCTTTCAGCTAATATACATACGAAGCAGACATTGTTGAATTTTATTAGAGCACGCGAAACACTGTCCATCACGCAAACTTTAAAATGGCTTTTTTGGGCCCAAATTTATGTTCAAAATCACAGGAAAGATGATTTAGAATTCCTGTATCCACATAAAGGGTAGGCACTTCACACGGGGAGAAACCACTACGTAAAAGATATATCAGAGGTCGATAGGTCGATAATTGTAGTGCAGTAATGTGATTAGAGAATGCGCTCTATTGGAAAACATAGCGTGTATTGTTACAACTCAAAATCCCCCAAAACATTTAGCTGACACGCCGAAGTACAAGTTATCACGCAACATAAATCTGGGCAGTTAGCTGGCAAAACTAACGCGGACCAACAGGAAGTAGTAAGAAGTTTAATAAAATTAAAAACAAATAGCGCTCCCTTAGTTCGTTTTCTCAGCTTGGTAATGTCGCGGTCTAAGCGCTTGTGAGTGGCAAGTTATTTCACCAAGTGACTTAGAGTAAACATAGATCTTTACTTTGAATAAAAACTGAAATCACTAAAGGAGAGAGTGTTTATTTCATGTCTGAAAAATTTTTTAAGAATCGAGGTTGGATCACTAGGAAGAATTATTGCATTGAAAACTGCGGACACGTTCAGAAGCGGGAGTGAAGGACATTTATGTTCATTTCTCTTGATGCGATTTAATAGGAATAAAGTTTTAACGGTTCACGAAGTTAATGTTACCGCTTCTTGTTTTCCTGTTTAACAAGCTCGCAGAGGTCATTTTTGACGCGTTATGGCTATGCAACAGATCACCGCACCATCCCATACTTAAAGCCAAAGACCGTTCTTCGACGATTTTCTTGAGGACCATACCAGACGACATAGTTTACGAGAGAAGAGCGAAAACGTTCAACCACAACAGCCGTCGAAAGCTTGAAAAGTAGGACTACAATCACAGAGGGATTAGGCCCAGTTTAGCTTCTAATTCGGTATAAAAAAGTACCGCCTCCGTTTGAGTTCAGAGATAACTCAAACCACCTTCGTTTCCCGTACAACAAGAGGTCACCGATGAGAGACAACAACGCGATGGGACATCGCCAAAACACTATATTCATTGACCTTGAAATTGGGTTCGAAATTAGAACACTTTGAGCCCGTTTGCACGGCACTATGTTGCAAATACAAGGTCGAAGAACCAATTTCCGTGTGGAAACAATTATACACGCAGGTCATACATGATATTATGTAAGGCATGACTAACAGAGAAACTTCTGCTGTCCATTCTCGTCACTTAAAAAAAGTCTGCCGGCCAGCCTGAAAAAGAGAGCAACATTTTTAATTTCTGTTAACTGCTGGAAAAGATTTGCATTCTTCTCATTACTGAAATTAACACTCGCCATTGCCTGTTGATGTAAAACCTTGTTCTGTTAAACTAGCTGTCTTCCGCCGTTTGAAGTAACACCATCAAACGCAACATTCCCCAAATTAAAGATTGTTCTCAATAAATAACATCATCACTACACAACACCTGTGTGTCACAACATGACGATAACGGAGCGATCATGCAGTGAACTTGGAAGCCGACGGATCTGCTGTGGTTGAGTATTGTTTAACCGTCTAAACATTTTCCAAAATAAGAGCCTGTTTACAAAGTAATGTCTTCTCGACGGAGGCCACTCTGAAGAACTTTATCAGAACAATATACTCGCACGCCATAATAGTTCTAATATCTTACTATTCATTTAATCCAGTTACATTTTATATGGAAAGTACCTCCTCGTCCTTGATAAGTCTGTCGATGAATAAATGAAACGAGCAAATTTGAGTCGGCAGGACACTTAAGTATTGTTCTTTGCCACCGATGTGTACTGTGTATTTTTATCACCATCAAAAGAAGTTCCATTCATTTCCAACGATCACCCCGATTAAAGTGTACAATACAAAGAGAAACGACTCATTTGTTTCTTATTTACAGGGTAAAAGATATATCTTGACCTATGTCGCCCCAAACTAAATAACCCAGGTTTTATATTAGCTACTGTAAGCGAAAAAAAATAATAATACAGTTCTGTTTCTAGCAATGAATAAACGGATTCTGCGTTTCATTTCCAGACAAGTGAGGAATATTAAACAGCTAAACATCACGTCTATTCAAAAATGTCTCTTTAATTTTGTATTATTTCATTATACGATGTCTTGGACATCAATTTCTTGACACACATAACTCGGGACATTGAAGCAATAATCGAACCTGTTGCTTTCAGCAACGTGACCATTTCTGGTCCATAGAGACATAGATCAAACACTGGTCGAACTTAGAGTTCGACGAGAAAAAAAAATACTTTAACATATAGCTAAGCTACTCGTGGTTCACACAGCATTGTAATAAAAATAACTACGCTATACAACTTCTAACTAACAAGCTTTGTCAAAAGCTAGTTTGAGCGTCTAGAATTCAACCGACTCGACTATGTACATAGACAGTTTAACTTGGAACATTCACAGTCACTAATATCTAAACCATACCTACTAGTTTCACTTTTGGAACGGCGGGTTCCATTTTGTCGTCTCCGCAAATAGTTATAAAATGTTGCGAGTTCGTGCACGAACAAGAAATATCCTTTATAAATTGCTAACTAGAAAGGAACCTAAATAAAAATTAGACTAAAGGTTTCAGGCTTGAAGCCGGTTTTTGCTAACAAAATTTGAACGGGAAGAAAATGTTTTTAGTGTTCTTTTCAAGAACGAGAGCGGTAGCTTGTTGCGCCAGCGTGAAGCTCAACTGAAACGCCAAAATCCCCGCTTGCTTTATAGCATTTTGCTCTATGAACAAGGCAGGTAAGGCCAGCTTGTTGGCGTTCCAGATAACAACATATCCCTAAGTAATGTCTCTATTGGAGTTTTACCCACGAGACGAACGAAGAAAAGCTGTTCCACAATGGATGAATTAATGCTCCGTAAAGAGGGAAGCCTCAACAACAATTTTCCAAAGCGATTCGGCTGGTTCGGGTACTGGTTTCTTGTATACTCTTCAAGAGCACACTGCGTCTTCTCTTGTAGACTCTCGATGTACTGCGGGTCAGTAAGACCGGACGCATCTGTGAAAACACAATTAGGATCCGTGACATTGGTATATACTTGAAGTAATGTTGGTGGCGCGATAGGCCGCACCGCAGTGGACTAGCACACGACCTTGAATAGGGAGGGCATTGCTATTAATTCACCGCAATAGATCAAATGTTACTAATGTTCAAAGACAGTTATAAATAAAATATCAAAATATATTTCAAACATGAAGGAAGTGGCGCCCAGCGAGCTGACTTACCTGATGTAAAAAGCACAATGGCCTTCAAACAAGCAAATTCAGCAGCGTCCACATGCAGGTTTCGGTACTTCTCGACCTGTTCTTGAAAGATTCGCACGTTGTCCATAAACGTTACCATTCTATCCGGGGACATGTGGTTTGAGTGGATACCGGCGGAGGCGAGAAGCGGGGCAACTTGGAGCGGCATCGGGCATTGGGCAGCGTTAAGCACAAACAACTCACTCCAAACTAAACGCAGCAAAGCCACTTGATCTGTTACAGCCAAGTCAGGAAAGAACGGTATGTTTCGAGCCCATTCGACCGCACTGAACAGCAAGCGAGCGGCCAATTCACAGATGTTCTCGATGCCCATGATTCCACATGGCATGTTCAACCCCTGTTGAAATCTAGTGGTGGGGTAAGGTTCTGCTCGCAGGAGAAGGCTGATAAAACCGGACAGAAACGAATGACCATTCGACACATCACTCCCATTCAGCGCTGAATGCTGCGGACTCGGTTGCGGTACTTGAGTTGGAGGGATTCGACCTCGTTGGACGGCTGTTGAGATAAGGTGAAAGGGTTCATTCAACAAGTTGCTCGAGCAGCCACGGGATACTTGCGAGCTACCTACTATCGCACACTGAAGAACATTGATTTAGTATTGTTAAAATGAAAATTTCTCACCCGTACCCTCGCGTCTCATGCCGACCTTTATACACTTTCTCAGTCTACAGTACTGACATTGGTTGCGGTGGTGCTGATCTATAGGGCAGTTCCTCGATGCACGACAAGTGTAGCTGAGGTTCCGACGGACGCTACGCTTGAAGAACGACTTGCACCCCTCGCAGGTAAATACTCCATAGTGTTTTCCCGAAGACTTGTCGCCGCAAACTGCGCACTCCACTTGCTGCACATTTTTTTCCGTCGGTTCTTCTAAAGGTTCCGTCTTCTCACTGCACCATGTCTGAGGGGCAGGGACCACGG